GTGGAGAAGGATGTGGAGGAAGAGAAGGACGTGAGAGGAGAAGGAGGTGGAGGAGAAGGGATGTGGAGGAAGAGAAGATGGTTGAAGAGAAGGAGTGGAGTAGTATAGGAATGTTGGAGGAAAAGGTTGTGGAGGAGAAGGATGGTGGAGGAGAAGGATGTGGAGAAGCAGATGTGGAGGAGAAGGATGTGGAAGGAGAATGTGGAGGAAGAGAAGGATGTGAAGAAGAGAAAGGATGTGGAGAGAAGGATGTTGGAGGAGGAGGATGGGGAGAATGATGTGGAGAAGGATGTGAGAAGGATGTGGGAGAAGATGTGGGGAGAAGGATGTGGAAGGAAAGGAGGTGGAGGAGCAAGGATGTGGAGAAGGATTGTGAAGAAGAGAGATGTGAAGGAGAAGGATGGTGGAGTAGAAGGATGTGTGTAAAGGGTGTGGAGGAGAAGGAAAGTGGAGGAGAAGGATGTGGAGGAGAAGGATGTGGAGGAGAAGGATGTGGAGGAGAAGGATGTGGAGAAGGATGTTAGGAAGAGAAGGTGTGGAGGAGGAGAAGGATGTGGAGAGAAGGATGTGGAGGAAGAGAAGGATTGTGAAGGGAGAAGGAAGTGGAGTAGAAGATGGGAAGGAAAAGTGTGAGGGAGAAGGATGTGGAGGAGAAGGATGTGGAGAAGAAGGATGTTGGGAGGAGAAGGATGTGGATGAGGATGTGAGAAGAGAAAAAAGGAATGGGGGTGGGAGGAGAAGATGTGGAGGAGAGGATGTGGAGAAGGATGTGGAGAAGGATGTGGAGGAGAAGGATGGTGGAGAGAAGGAAGTGGAGAAAGGATGTGGTAGGAGAAGGATGTGGAAAGGATGTGGAGAAAGAAGGATGTGAAAGGGAGAAGGATTTGGAGTAGAAGGATGTGGAGGGAAAAGAGGTGTGAGGAGAAGGATGTGAGAGAAGATGTGGAGAAGAAAGATGTGAGAGAAAGGATGGGAGGAGGATTGAAGGAAGAGAAGGATGTGAGAGAAGATGTGAGGAGGAGATGTGGGAGAAGGATGTGAGTAGGGATGTTGAGAAGGATGTGGAGGAAAGGATGTGGAGGAGAAGGATTTGGAGGAGAAGGATGTGGAGAAGGATTGGAGGAAGTAGAATGATGTGGAGGGAAGTAGAAGGAGTGGAGGAGAAGGATGATGGATAAGAAGATAGATACGGACAAAGGGAGAGGAAGGCGAAGAATGTGGAGGAGAAGGATGTGGTAGGAGAAGGAAAGTTGGAAGGAGTAGAAGGCCGTGGTAGGCGGAGGATGTGGGAGAAGGAGAAGATGTGGAGGAAACGGGTGTGGATGAGAAGGATGTTGAAGAGAAGGAGTGGAGGACATGAAAAGGAATAGGGAGGATGCGAATGAAGTGTAGGAGAAGGATGTGGGGAAGGTTGTGGGGGATAAGGATTGTTGAGAAGGAAGTAGGAGTAGGAGAAAGATGTGGAGGCGAAGGAATTGAGTAGGAGAAGGATGTGGTAGGAAAAGGTGTGAGGAGAAGTGATGTGGAGGAGAAGGAGTGTGAGGAGAATGATGGATGGATGAGAGGGATGTGGCCTGAGGAATGGAGGAAGAAGAAGGATGTGGAGGGAGAAGGAGAAGCGGAAGTAGGAGGATGTGGAGAAGAGATTTGGATGGAGGAGTAAGGATTTGGAGAAGGAAGTGGAGGAGGAATTGTGGAGTAGGAGAAAGAAGAGGAGGAGAAGGATGAGTATATAGGACCCGGCAGAGGCGGAACAGGGGTTGTGGAGGAGAAGATAGTGAGGAAGAAGATTGTGAGGAGGAGGAGAGTGGAGACAGGCTGTGTAGGACGAAAGTAAGTGGATGAGGCGAAGGAGTGAGGATTGGAATTGCTGTGGAGAAGGATGTGAGGAAGAGAAGGCGTGGAGGAGTGAGAAGTTAATGAGGAGTAGGCGCAGCAGTGTTGAGTGATCAAAGGTGTGGATTAGAGGAAGAGGAAAATAGAAGGAAGTGGATGAGAGAATGATGTGGAGAGAAGGAAGTGTGGAAAAGGATGTGGAGAGGATGGAGCAGTAGTAGAAAAATGTAGGGAGAGAAGTAAGTGCGGAGAATGAGAAGGAGTGGAGTAGGAGAAGGATGAGGAGAAACAAGAGAGTTGAAGAGAAGATGTAGAGGAGACGGTTTGGAGGAGAAGGAAGTGGAGAGGATGTGAGGAAGAGAAGTTTTGGAGGAGCGGCTGTGGAGGAGAAGGTGTGGAGGAGAGGATGTTGAGAGAAGTTGTGGAGAAGGAGAAGAAGTGGAGAATTAAGGATGTGGAGTAGAAGGATTAAGGAGGAGAAGGAAGGGAGGAGAAGGATGTGTAGGAAGATACGGAGATGTGAAGGAGAAAGGAAGTGGATTATGAGAGGAATGTGGAGGAAAAGGGTGTGGGAGGGAGAAGGATGAGTGCGGAGAAGGATGTGGAGGAGTAAGGATGTGGAGGAGAAGATGTTGGAGGAGAAGGATGTGGAGAAGGAATGTGGAGGAAAGGATGTGGAATGTAAGAGAAGGAAGTGGAGGAGAAGGATGTAGAGAAGGATGTGGAGAGAAGAGTGGAGAAGAGAAGGATGTGGAGGTGGAGAAGTACTTGTGGAGGAGAAGGATGTGAGAAGGATGTGGAGGAAGAAAAGGAAGTGGAGAGGAGGAAGGATTGTGGAGGAGAAAGATGTGGAGAAGGAGAAGGATGTTGGAGGAGAAGAGCTGTGGAGGAGAAGGATTGGAGGAGAGGATGTGGAGGAGGCGAAGGAATGGGAGGAGAGGATGTGGAAAAAGGAAGTTGGATGGAGAAGGAATGGAGGAGAAGGATGTGGAGAAGGGTGTGGGAGAGGAGAGGAGGAGATGGGTAAGGAGGCAAATACTGTGAGGAGTAGGACCAACATGTGGAAAGATTCAGATAGAATATGAAGTTAAAGAAGTAAGTTAAAAAGAAGTGGAATAAAAACAAGATGTGTTTCTGTCGCTGTTTGATCCGTGGAAGTTATACCGATATTCCATAACCTCAGCCCCCTCTACCTCAACGTGAAGCGGCAGAGAAGCCACAGCTAAACTCCTTAAGGAGACCCAGGAGCTATAACTCAACCCCCTTCAAGAGGTTCAGGACCTGGCGAGCAGTACCTGTAAGCGGACCAGGAACTAGAACTCATCCCAATCTAAAACTGTGTAGGTACATGGATGTTGCATGCATTAGCAGTGCCTGCGATGCATCACAGATCAAGTAACACTGCGCCTTATAGGTCGTATTTTCCGGCATAAAAGGCGCACAATAAAAGTATAAAAACGGTAAATAGGCAATCATATTCAAGGGCCAATTACCCTCTTTACGCTAAAGCGTAACACAAAGCGTACCCTTGAACCTGAGCTTGAGCATATAAGGCGCAGGCTGATTTTCCAAGACTTTTTCGTTGAGAAAAAAGACGCGCCCTTATATGACGAAAAAAACGGCAGTTTAATAAGGTTTCCTGGTGGGCTGAGCGAGGAGTCACGCCACTTTAATTTTGTAAGTCCCATTCAGAGTCTCCAACACTTTCCCTGTAGACGGTAGGCGCAGGGCCTCATCCACACGTTCACACGGGAGCGTTCACATACTAGGTACGTTCTTCCTCTTCCCGAGAAAGCCAAAAGTTATATTCGGTTAGTAATGAGTCCCACATCTGTGTGGCTTAACGAATCTGCTGGTCAACATCCAAGGATTTGGATTGTGAAAGAGACCAGCTTGGAATGTGATCGTGACACCAGCAGCACTGGTGGGTATGTTCCCCATGCTGGGGATGCAATGAGGTGCATGATTGGTGGACAGCAGTAAGGTTTTCAAACCAGAGCTTAGCGAACCAGAGCTTTAGTGAACCAGAGCTTGTAGTGAACCAGAGTTTTAAGTGAACCAGTAGCTTTATTGAACCAGAAGCTTTATGAACCAGAGCTTTAGTGAACAAGAGCTTTAGTAAACCAAGCTTAAGTGGAACCAGAGCTCACGAACTCAGAGCTTAGTGAACTACGATAAACACGCATAGAGAACAAATTTGAATACATGCTTTCTGTTAATACATAATGCACTTGATAAACGGAAAAAATTGGCCTAAGTTGATGATGAGGGGCAATGTTGCAGATACCTCGCTGTCCTCGACGCTGTCTCGACGCTGGTTGCTCGACGCTGTCACTGCGACGCTGCCGTTCGACGGAAGTACTGGTGAAAATTAACCCCACCGCCAGCACACATTACACGAGGCGACACATGTTCAAGGACCTGACATCACTAAACCTGACCCTACCTAACTCACCTGTTTTCCTCAGCACAAAAATGTAAACATGGAGGCTGAACAGAAGAGGCTTCCTCTAGTTATCACACAGAAACTGATATAGCAATTTGCTTAATAAAATTGGCAAATTGGGACCTACATCGCCTAATATTAATATAAATTTTCTTTTAGACAAAATACACCAGCACTTTACGTTTGAAGCCGATCAGATGAAGTGTTCTCCAGTTACCACGAAAAAATTAATAATCTCAAATTTTGAACTTGATTAGTAATTTGGAAAAATTGTGCCCATGAGGTGTAAATTTTAAGTGAGTCTTCCTTAAAATGAGACGTGACCTGACGTGACCTGACGTGACCTGACGTGACCTGACGTGACCTGACGTGACCTGACGTGACCTGACTGACCTGACTGACCTGACGTGACGTGAAGTGATGCAACCTGTCGTGATGTTACGTGATATGGCAAAACCTGTCTTGACCTTATGTGATATCACAACACATGTCTTGACATGACGTGACTTCACACGATTTGATATGATAGACGACCTGAGGTGACGTGACAACGTGTGACATGACTCGACTCGCTGCAAACCTGACGTAAAAAACAACGCGATGATGCAACCCGACGCGACAAAATGGTAAGAAACGTGACGTGAATCGTGACCAAATACCCCCGTCCCCCTCCCACCCCTTCCCTCCCTATTTCCCCTTTCTCCCCCAGAGATCTTACCTGCTGCGGCGTGAGATTGATGGAGAGGCGAGGTGATTCCCTCCTCAGGCTCAGAGAGGTATTTCCTGCTTGCTTGAATGCGTCGCTTCCAGCTCAACACCTGTGACGGGCAGGAAAAGGAAGGGGGGGATCAGCCGAGTGGGTATGGCCGCACACACGCACGTATACAACACACACACACACACACACATGACACCCACACAATACACCCACACACCCACATACACACACCACACACACACACCACACACAACACACACACACACACACACACACAAACACACACACAACAAACACGCACACACACACACACACACGCAACACACACACCACACACACACACACACACAGAGCAAAGTTGCTGGTTAGTGGGGGATATCAAACCACATGGAGATCGACTGGGAAAAACCGGAGCCACATGGGGGGTCCGAAACAAGGAGAGCCAGGATGTTGGACGTGGTGCTGGAAAACCTCATGCACCAACATTTTAAGGACACTACCAAGTGGAGAGGGGAGGATGACCCAGCAGATTGAACCTTGTGTTCACACCTGGGCAGCTCAGACATTGAGGACATCAAGTATAGAGTCCCCCTAGGAACTAGCGACCAACGTGGTTCATGCTTTGAATACACATAGAGGCTTTAAAATGAGAGAATTAACAGGAGTTGAAATGAGAAAAGCCTGACTATAAAAGAGGGGATACATAGGGTTAGAAGAACATCGCTGCGGTAGGTCCAGTCGGACAGAGAACATGGCAGGAAAGCAGTAATGAAATGATGGAATATGTAACAACAAAAAAAGCAAGAGGCAAGCGGAAAAAGTTTTATACCCAAGGGCAACAGTAACAACGGGAAGACCAGAACGAGCCCACTGGTTTTACCCACGGTGTAAGGTGAGGCAAAAAAACAAAGTGCAATAGAGAATGGGAAAAAGTACAGAAGGCAGAGAACACACGAAAATAGGGAGATTGATTCCGCAAGAGCCAGGACGAAGACGCACAGGTAAGAGGGAGCCCAGCGATAGATGAAAATGACATAGCATATAGAATCAGACTGACCCGAAACTGATGTATAGCCACATCAGGATGTAAACCAAACAGTCAAAGACCAGGTGACAAATTAGGACAGAAGGTTGAGAACTCACAAGAAATGACAGGAGGTATTGAGGAGCTGAACAGGAATTTAAGGAAGTTTTTTACAGTAAGAGACAGGAAGGGTCTGTGGGAAGATAGCTCAAAGGGAACATCAAGAGGGAATATACCAACAAGTGTTAGGATGACATACTAACAACTGAGGAGGAGGTTGAAGAAGCGCTTAAGTGACCTTGACAACCTCAAAGGCTGTGGACCGGACATCTCCCCATGGGTCCTTAGAGAAGGAGCAGAGATGCTGTGCGTGCCTCTACCCACAGATCTTCAACAATCCCTTGAAACTGGGCAACTCCCTGAGAAGTGGAATGACAGCTAATTTAGTCCCCATATTTAAGAAAGGAAACAGAAAACGAGGCACTAAACTACAGACCTGTGTCTCTGACATGTATTGTGCGCCAAAAGTTCATGGAGAGATTATCAGAGTAGAGTGGTCGAACACCTGGAAAGAACAAGATAATAAATGAAAACCAGCAATGGGTTCAATGGAGGCAAATCTTTGTATCACAACCTCCTGGAGTTTTATGACAAGGGAACAGAAGTAAGACACGAGAGAGAGGGGTGGGTAGATTGGTGTTTTTCCTAAGACATGCTGGAAGGCCTTTAACACAGTTTCCCCAACAAGAGATTAAGTGCAGAAGCTGGAGGATCGGCGCATGTAAAATGGAGGCACCTGCAATGGATAAGGAATACCTGACAGGGAGGCAGCAACGAGTCATGTACGTGAAGAGGTATCACAGTGGGCGCTCTGTTTACGAAGCGGGGTCCCACAGGTCGTTTTGACCATGCTATTTTTGATATATAGTGAAACGACCATGAATGGAAGGAAAGACTCTGAAGTGTCCCTGTTCGCAGATGACGTGAAGTAGATGAGAATAATTAAATCGGACAGGATGAGGCAGGACTGCAAGAGACCTGGACAGCTGGACATGTGGTCCAGTAACTGGCTTCTCTGAATTCAATCCAGCCAAATGCAAATTCATGAGTTTTGGGAGGGGCAAAGAGACCGCAGACAGAGTATAGGCATAGGGTGGACAAAGACTACAGACCTCACTCAGGGAGAAAGACCTGGGGTGACCAAACACCGAGCACACACCGGAGGGCACCCATCAACACAAATAACTGCTGCAGCATACGGGCGTCATGGCGACCTGAGAAATAGCGTTCCGATACCTTATAAGGAATCGTTTCAAGACACTGTACCCTGTGGTATGTTAGGCCATACTGGGATTTGCAGCACAGTCCTGGAACCACACTTCGGTCAAGCACGCCAAGCAGATAGAGAAAGTAACAAAGTTTGCAACAAGGCTAGTCCACAGAGCTCAAGGGAATGTCGTACGAGGAAAGGTTAAAGGGAAATCGGACTGACGACAAACTTGAGGACAGAAGGTTTCAGGGGAGACATGATAACGACCATACAAGATTAAACCCTGGGCGGGGAATAGACCAAGGTGGACAGAGATAGGAATGTTCCAGAGAGGTGACACAGGGACCAAGGGGTCACAACTGGAAGCTGAAGACTCAGACGAGTCACAGGACGTTAGGAAGTATTTCTCCAGTCATAGAGTTGTCAGCAAGTGGAATAGCCTGCAAGTGAAGTAGTGGAGGCAGGAACCATACAAAGTTTTTAAGAAAGGTATGACAAGCACAGGAAGCAGAGAGAGAGAGGAACCTAGTAGCGATCAGTGAAGAGGCGGGGCCGAGGAGCTGAGTCCCGACACCCTGCAAACCACAATTAGGGAGTACACACACACACACAGCAACACACACACTACCACACACACACACACACCAACAAACACACACACACAACACACCAAACACACACACACAAACACACACACACACACACACCCACACACACACACACACACACACAAACACACACACACACACACACACACACACACCAAACACAAACACAACACAAACACACACAGCACCCCCCACCCACAAACACACACACACACACACATCACACACACACACAACACACAAACACACCCACACACACACTCACACACACCCATCACACTACACACACACACACACACACACACACACACACACACACACACAATGCTTATTGAAGTACCAATTACATGACGAATAAGCTTTCCTGAGTCGACGTTTTCCGCTCATAAACCGATTAAAGATCAATCACTGACGAAACGTTGACAAAATAAAAGCGTATTCTGTTCCTGTTCGTTACTATTACAGAAATATCCTGACCTTTTCTTTTTTTCATTTTATTTACAAAAACCAAAAACATCTACCGTAACTACCATAGGCCCTATGAGAACCAGTTAGTAAAAAAGTTCTTAAATTTAAAAATCTTGCGAGAACAGCAATTATAAGCCTATAAGAACACCAGTTCGAAAATCGTCAAAATTACGGCGTCTTCCAAGAAAGCTGATCCATAGGCCTAAGGAATTACATTGAAATGTGGTGTGTGTGTGTGTGCGTGTGTGGTGTGTGTGTGTTGTGTGTGTGTGTGGTGTGTGTTTTGTGTGTGTTGGTGTGTGTGTGTGTGTGTGGTGGTGTGTGTCCAAGGGGCTTAATGCAGCAGCAGATTCTATGATGACGATGTTTTCGATCAATGTTGAGCGAAACGTGCCGTATGTCCCATTCATTGCTTTATACAGAACAAGTTTTGAAAAATAATCAGATACTGGCAAAGGAAGAACCTGGCCGACCTGTGTCTGTATGAGCCACTGCCAAATGTCTGTAGAACACCCTAAAACCCTTGGTGGGACCTGCTCGTGAGAACCACTGACCATGTGTCTGTGGGAACCACTGACCTGCGTCAGTGTGAACCAATAGACCTGCGTCTGTGTGAACCACTTACCTGGTGTCTGTGTGAACCACAGACCTGCGTCTGTGTGAACCATGACCCCCTGTGTCTGTATGAGCCACTGATCTGTGTCTGTGTGAACCACTGACCTGCGTCTGTGTGAACCACTGACCTGCGTCTGTGTGAACCACTGACCTGCGTCTGTGTGAACCACTGACCTGCGTCTGTATGAGCCACTGATCTGTGTCTGTGTGAACCACTGACCTGCGTCTGTGTGAACCACTGACCTGCGTCTGTGTGAACCACTGACCTGTGTCCCATTCTGAGCCACTTGATCTGTGGTTTGGTGAAACCTATTGACCTGCGTCTGTGTGAACCACTGACCTGCGTCTGTGTGAACCACTGACCTGCGTCTGTGTGAACCACTGACCTTCGTCTGTGTGACCCACTGACCTGTGTCTGTGTGAACCACTGACCTACGTCTGTGTGAACCACTGACCTGCGTCTGTGTGAACCACTGACCTGCGTCTGTGACCCACTGACCTGTGTCTGTGTGAACCACTGACCTGCGTCTGTTGAACCCACTGACACTGCGACTGTGTAGAACCACGACCTGTCGGTGTGAAACCACTGACCTGCGTCTGTGTGAACCACTGACCTGCGTCTGTGTGAACCACTGACGCTGTGCACTGTGGGAGAGACACCTATCTGAGTCGTGGGAACCACTGACCTGTGTCTGTGTGAACCACTGACCTGTGTCTGTGTGAACCACTGACCTGCGTCTGTGTGAACCACTGACCTGTGTCTGTGTGAACCACTGACCTGCGTCTGTGTGAACCACTGACCTGTGTCTGTGTGAACCACTTACCCAACGCCTGTGTAACCACTGACCTGCGTCCCGTGTGAACCACTGACACTGCGTCTTGCGTGAACCACGACCTGCGCTGTTTGAAACCACTGACCCTCGACTGTGTGAACCACTGACCTGCGCCTGTGTGAACCACTGACCTGCGCCTGTGTGAAGAGGATCCGTCGCTTTCTGCGCTGTGAGAGTGGGAACTGCATTCCCTTGTTGTCACCCATACTGCAGGTGGAGAGAACGTCACTTAGCCCATTGTTCATGATCTGTTTGTAGCCCTCCAATAACCGTGAGAACTGGTGAGAAACAAGAACAAGAAGAACATTTAGTTAGGTAATAACAACACACGCATTATCGGTGAGTTGCGGTAACAGGGAGGAATTAAAAAAGGGACACAAGCAGTCAAGACAAATACATTGGTAGCAGGAGATCGTGAGCTGGCATCGTACCGCGACGACCAACCACACATTGGATGGTAGGGGAAGGGAAGGACATACCGTTAACAGACAGCCGTGGCAGCAAAAACTACGTAGACGCGTGTTGCTGAGGGACAAATACAGTTCTGGAAGACTCGCAGCTGCGAGACAGAAGCTGCCCAAGCAACACACACAATGTTAGCTGCCTCAAGCAACACACAAATGTGGTATGCTGCTCAAGCAACACATACAATGTGTAGCTATCCATGCGACACAAAAAGTGTAGCCAACCATGCAACACGCACATGATATCTGTCCATGACAACACATACAATGTGTAGCGCCCGGTGAAACAATCTCCAAGCTGTCCGCGTCAACCCACACCACACACAAGGCACAGCTGTCCACGCAATACACACACACAATGTGCAACTGCCCACGCAACACACGGGATAGGAAATAAAGGCAAATGGAGCATCACTTGTTGATATCAACAAACACTCTAGTCAGCAAGAGCACCTCGCTGCAGTTTTCATCGTTCGTTAACGAAGGAGACTGAACACACAGAGTAAAAAAATCCTCCGAAATACGAAGCTTTTAAGTTAGTTGAATACACCAAGCATAGTCAGACTCCAGCAAAGTCACACACATGCGCGCATTTTGACCGAACATTCACCTAAAATACGTAACTTTAAATTCAACGGCGTACAGGATAACGCAGGGGGAAAAAAGGCCAGACTCCATTAGCGAGGGAAAAAAATTCTCTCTCATCACACACCTGTAAAAAAATTTCTGGTAGTGGGGTGAGAAACAACTTGTGATGTGATGTTGAACTTCCGCTGGCTTACTTTGGCTTACATGACCAGTAACCATGGAAGGTCTCGGTCAAGTTATTTAAAGCTTATGTAGATAAATGGTTCAGAGAACCGACAATTTGACAAATTAGACACATGTGTAACACTTTGGTATCTCTACTGAGGGCACGTTTCGCCACACAGTGGCTTCATCAGTCCAGTACAAAGAAGAACGGTGAAGATCAGAAAGAGTTTGAGGTAATCAGTCCCTCAGCCTGGAGTCCACGTAGTCAGTCCATCAATCTTGAAAGAATACAACACAGGGTGTAGAAGACGACCTACAGGAGAGGTCAGGTGAGACCCACGACAGGAGAAGCTCTCGCATGTCAACAGTAATGATATACCTTGGGTGCCTTGCTAACTTGGAGTATACTCCATGTACTCCATGTACTCCATGTACTACATGTACTCCATGTTCTCCATGTACTACATGTACTCCATGTACTCCTATGTACTCCATGTACTACATTAACTCCCAATGTACCCATGTCACTCCATGTACTCCATGTACTCGTAACAAGTAGAGACTAACAAAATGCCTGTTTACTATTTTTACATCCTGCTTAATAACCACTCTGCAGAAATGAAGGAGGAATGTGTGTAAGGAATTATGTATGTATAGTAATATATATATATAATAAAATATATATATATATATATATATATATATATATATATATATATAATATATATATATATAATAATTAATTATTTTGTATCAAAAGAACCTTAGAAAGCTTACCTCACCTTATCACAACAAGCGTAAATAATTTAGCCTAATCCAATTAAATATATTTTAGATAAGTTTAGCAATAATTTAATAATTGAAATATATTTGTGCGTTAGGTTCAAAATGAATTTTGCGAAATTAATTGCAACATAAATTTTGAGCTTGCCTTATGTTGGCAAGAAGATTGTTGCTAATAAAGCCAAAATAGCAACATTATATATTGCGGCACATATATATATGTAATGATACCACGACGTATACTTAATATATAAATAGAGTGATGTCAGTGGTCAATGTGCGGTCACACCTGCCAAGCTCTTGGAGTTTAGCGTGGCTGTTTACCAAGCACCATGGCTTGTTGTAGTGCTTTAGAATCCCATGGTTTCACGTGTTTTGAAGAAGAGATTCTACTTCTTCAGGATGAAAATAGGAAGCAGAAGCTTCGCATAGGATTGAGTTTTGGGAGCGAGTGTGAGAAGGATTTAGCTGGAAAGGAAGGAATGGTCACCAGCATTGACGTGGCAGCCGCTTTAAATGGCAAGTGTTCACAGTTCAAGAAAAAGGAATATGGGAGAAGTTAATAGAGAAGAAAAATGGGGGTTTATTTGTGAAAAATTGCAGAAATCGATTCTCTGTTCTCCATGACGAGTACTTCATTGGTTAGTGAGGTTTGAAGGTAACACTGAACCCGCCAGCTAATCAAAGTAAAGAATATATTAATAGGAGATTCTCAGTAAATATATGGACCGTGCATTTTGTAACAGAGACAAAAGATCATACAGAGATTGTGTCATCCTGGACTGGTGTTGGCGACATAAGTCAGCAGGTTGGATTAATATTATGGCAGGTAATGGAACAAGCCCATTTATCAGACTTAGTGCTGGGGGTATGACATTGGAAATGACAGGAGAGATGAGCTGCTTGGAAAAGTTCAGGTCACAAAGAAGTAGTTCAGGTCTAAGGGAGGAATCCCAGTCAATGTAGCATCTTGCCTAGAAAGGGAGTGGGCTATGAAGGATGTCAAGGGCAATATGGTAATATAAATCGCCTGGCTAGACAGTACTGCGAGGAACTTGCAATCCTTGTTCAATGATAACAGGACTTTTTCTTTGGCAAATGTGATAAGTTATGCAATGGATGGGGTTCATCTCGCTGGGATGGGTGGTATGCATTAGCCAAATTCAATTGAGGAGGGTAATTGATGACTTGTCTTGGAATTTAAACTGATATAGAATATAGAAGTATGGGTCGTATAGTGGTAAAACAATCATGCTGCAGCATTAGTGATTAAAAACAGCAGTTTATACCGGGATACTCAGAGATATGTTTTAAAAGATCAATATTCAAAAATAAAGTTGCTAGTAAGGGCAAATCAATGTATCAACAAACAAAGAGAGATAGTAAAGGGCAACGAAGTGACCAGCTCCCTAAGGTTACTATACAAATAGAAGGAGTCTAAGAAATAAGATAGATGAGGCTAAAATTACTTTGCAAGTGTAAGATAATCTAGATATAAATGTGTAACAGAGACCTGTACAACCTGAAAAGATAGAGAAATAGCCTATCTGAATGCCGCAATTTTAACATGGTTAGAAACTAATCCACACCGATAGGATCAACAGAAGGGTGGTGGTGTGGTGAGGGATGTGTTCCAGAGAAATTTTAAATTGTTGTCTTAGACATGATATATTAAGATTAGAAAACATCGGAACACAGAATCGGTTTTGGCTACAGTTTCTCGAGGGACGTTGACAAAATATATTTTGTGTGATTAGAGTGGCCCCCAAACCTTGATATGGAGTGCAGTAAGCTGTTATGGGATCGAAATTCATAAGGCATCTTGGATATAAAATGTTGTGTATAATTGGGAGATTTTAACATAGACAAATTGAATTGAACAATATGACAGGAAATCTTGATTCTAGTTGGACTTTCTTGATAACGGTTCAGGATTGGCTTTTTAGAACAGGTTGAGACAGAAACCAACTAGAGGAAACAATCTCTTGACTTGGTTCTTTGCCAACAAAGATTCCACTAATTAATAATCTTGAGATTAATGAAGAGGCTTGGGAAAGTGTCACAAAACACTTAGTTTCAATATATTCTCTGGAATTGCAGAATTGAGACCCATATGCAACACATGGGAAATCATTATTGAAAAGAAACTTTTCGCCACAACAGTGGCTTCATCAGTCCCAATACAAAGTAGAAATGGGAAAGGAGAGTAGAAGTAATGAGGAATCCAGTCCCTCAACCTGGAATCGATGTTTTCAGTCCATCACTTCTTGTAGAAGTGCAGCATAAGGCAGAGAGGTGGCATATACTACGGAAGAGATGATTGAAGCAGGAGGAGGCGGGATCACAAGTGGGACCTGCCACTAGTGTAAGTAGGTCTCGTCCAAAGGTTGGGCAAGCGTTGAGTCCTTTGTAACCAGATCCCATGATTTGCAGTGGTCTGACAGATGGTGATAATTGGTTTGACAACCGACAAGTAGAAGAATAGAGACACATATGCAACACATGGGAATCTTTTTTTGAAGAAACGTGTTGCATAAGCTCAATTTTTTAAATTGTCGTTTTAAAAACCATTATCACATACAGGGAAATTTACCCGATAACTGCAATCAAATCCTGTCCCAATTTTTCGCGGGGCCGACTTCAGGGGACTAAAAAATTACTTGGGGGGCAAAATTGGGATGTCCTTTTATGGGTCGGGTAGGGATCTTGGTTCCCAATGACGTTTTTCAAGCATAGCACCCCCAGACAACTTTGTTCCGAGTAGGGAAATTTGACTAACAAAAATATCCAAATGGATGAAAAATTAAATTAAAACACCATTGGTAAAAAGAGGGCTATATAGGCGTATCAAAAGAGGGAGGGCAGTTAAGAAATCAATAATTAATTAAGAGGAAAAAAAAAAAGGAATAAGAAAAGAAAAAAAGGGATTATGAGGGTAAGGGGCGCAAGGGGTCAAAGACTAAACCCCAAAAGGTTCTTTTAGGTATTCAGAATAAGATTTGGGACAAAGATTGGCCCACTTAAGAGTAACTCTGGTCAACCGACAGTGAAAGATATGTGTAAATACTAAATACCTACTTCCTCTCAGTTTTCACCAGGGAAATACTGCGATATTCCTAAATAATAGATTACGTAGAAAAGGAATAAAAACTAGACGATAGCGGTAACTATGACATGGCTCAAAAAAATAGAGAAACTAAAAACAACAAATCCCCAGGCCTGATGAAATTTTTGCAAGGGGTTTTAAAGGAATGTAAAGAGGGAAATTAGCATACCCT